ACTTACTATCTAGCACTTTATAGGAAAAGTTTGTTGACCCCCTAATTTAAAGCATGTAGACTTTATTTGAGTTTATTTATTTATTTTTTCTGTTAGGATTGAGGAATCTTCCCCACATTCATGTGCTGACTTTGGCAGGAGTGAGGTAGAGGGTGAATCCTGCAATATAATAACACATTTCTCCTATGTGAAAATGTACATTTCACTAAGGAGATTCCCAGAGAATTTAAGCTCTAAATTTCCTAGAATTATCTTCTGTGCAGAGGAAGTTTTGAATGCCCATGCCTAATACTTCTTTTCCTATATCCCCCATATTTCTAAATGATAGGCACTGACCTGTTGGTTTGCAAATGCCAGGTGATTTGCATACAGAGGAAATTTGTTTTGTACTTAGTGATTCAAACACTGACTCCAGGGGGCAAGCCCATTCAGGAATACAAGAGAGGTCCTGGCATATAAAGAAGTAGTGAGCAGACATGGGTACGTCAGAGCCATTCTCAGATTTCATTGGTGATCTGTCATCCCTGGTTTGGAATTGATCAAGTTTGATTCTATAGTTACAATTTATCTTGTTTGTTTTCTGGTGGATAAAAAAAAAGGCTTTTTCTTTCAAGCCTTTTAATCAGAATATCACTAAACCTATCCTGAAATATGAGTGAATATAGGCAGATTACATTATAAAATATGTATTTCCCAACTATCCACAGTGATGTGCATCACAGATAAGTAGGGTCAGGGCTTATCTTTGTGGATCAGCAGACCTGGGTTCAGGTCCAAATTTGGTCACTTTCTGGTTATTATTCATTAACTCTGTGCTATTTCCATGCTGGGCCTTAGTTTTCTCATCTGTGAAATGGAGATAATATTACATACTTCATAACAGTGTTAGGAGATTTCAACAAATGATGGTCTTTAAACTTCTAGTATGCCTCACATATGGCTGTGCTCAATAATTAGAAATTGTTTTGATTATAACATTCACACTTATCTCTTTCCCTACATTGCTTATACTTTCTCACTGCTCTCTTTTCTTGCATTTCTTTCTCTCACTGTACTTTTCTCCCTTCACATTTGTCTTTGAAAATATTTTTCCTATCTCTGTGCCTTCTCCCTCCCCCCCCTCTCTCTCTCTCTCACACACACACACACACACACACACACACACACCTTAATCTGGTGTATATGTGTTTATATAAAAAGGAATTACAATCTCCTCCCATCATGATCCAAGGAAATTCATCTATCAGATACACATTCTTTCAATAACCCTTTCAACAATCATCTAATAAGAACCTATTTTATGCAGGAGGCTCTAGGGAAGTCAGAACTAACAAGACTGACAAAGCCTTGTCCTCATGAAGCATATATTTTGGATAGAGAAAGCCAGATATTACTCATATGAACAATAAACATTTAACAATTGTGTCAGATAGTGGGAGGTAATAGAAGGGAACCAGGGCAGGGTGAAGGACCGAGTCACACAAGTAAAAAGATGAATTGATGAGCTAGGATCCTTAGGGTGGCTTATGTAAGACTGAGGCATGATCAGATGAAAGAAGCTATGGGGAAATCTGGGGAAAGATACTGCTAAGTAGGATTAACTTGGTGAAAGTCAGCAAGACAGGAATGAGTTGTTGTTCCCAAAAGACATGGAAGTAGCCATAGTGAGCAGAATGATGAAACAAGAGGAGAGAGGAGATGAGCATGGAGAGTTCTAGGTCACATGGAACCTTTAGGGCAAGAGAGGAGTTGTACTCTTACTCTAATTAGAGTGAAAAGCCCCTGCATGAAAATGATACGCGCTGACCTATACTTTAAAAATATCTCCTTGGTAACTTGGTGGAAAGGGTGCAAGAGTGGAAATACAATGGCTCTTTAATGAGAATTATTGAGGCATTCAGGTGAGAGATGGGGCTGGCAAGCATTTGTGTGATAGCAGGAAGATCGGAAGAAGTGGGCATGTTTGGGATATGTTATCAAGACAGAGTTATAGCACTTGCTGATGGATTGGCTAAAGAATGTAAGGGAAAGAAAGGAATCAAAGATGATTCCATAGTTTTGACCTACTCTGTTTTTGTCACTGGGGATACAGTGGTGAAAAGGAATTCATCAATGGTCTAAATTGTTCTATGTAAAAAAGTGTCCTAAACATGGTTTTGGACAGAACCATCTTGTATCATATAGTGCATAGCCTCCTTCTTGGAAGAAATATGATTTCTACTAAACATGATTAAGTAATATTTCTGATTAACTTCAAAGGGATTGAAGCTTGTTGTACAGAACCAGACACTCACCCATCCTGCTGGCAGGCAAGAGCCTCCCATCGCTTCTTTTCTTTCCTTTGCTTTGCTTTGCTTTTCTCTTTCTCTCTATCAGTGAGTGTGTGTTATAAAATGTTCTTCTCAACAATAAATCTTTAACTTGAGTGACTAGAGGCCTTTTCACTTTCAACAATATTGTAATAAAACTTTGACACATGCTCATAACTAAATGGTCTGAAAATTTTTTTAAATTTAATAAATCTTTATTGTTAAGATTATTACAATTGTTCCTCCTCTCCTCCCACCCCCCCATAGCTCCCCTTCACCTGGTTCCCACCCCACCCTCTGCCCTTACCCCCCACACTGTCCTCATCCATAGGTGAATGATTTTTGTCCAGTCTCTTTCCGCTCTCACACTCCTTTCCCCTGAGGATTGTCAATCCATTCACTTTCTATGCCCCTGATTCTATTATATTCACCAGTTTATCCTGTTCATAGGATTTTTAATTCACTTGATTTTTAGATTTACTTGTTGATAAGAATTTATTGTTCATAATTTTTATCTTTATCTTTTTTTTTTCTTCTTTCTCTTCTTAAAGAATACCTTTCAGCATTTCATATAATACTGGTTTGGTGTTGATGAACTCCTTTAGCTTTTTCTTATCTGTGAAGCTCTTTATCTGACCTTCATTTCTGAATGATAGCTTTGCTGGGTAGAGTAATCTTGGTTGTAGGTTCTTGCTATTCATTACTTTGACTATTTCTTGCCACTGCTGTCTGGCCTGCATAGTTTCTGTTGAGAAATCAGTTAACAATCGTATGGGTGCTCCCTTGTAGGTAACTGTTTCTCTCTTTGTCTTTTGCCCTTGGCATTTTAATTATGATATGTCTTGGTGTGGTCCTCTTTGGATTCCTCTTGTTTGGGGTTCTGTGTGCTTCCTGGACTTGTAAGTCTATTTCTTTCACCAGGTGGGGGAAGTTTTCAGTTATTATTTCTTCAAATAGGTTTTCAATATCTTGCATTCTCTCTTCTTCTGGCACCCCCATAATTCTGATGTTGGTTCTCTTGAAGTTGTCCCAGAGGCTTCTTACACTATCCTCAACTTTTTGGATTCTTTTTCTTTTTTTCTTTTTCAGTTGAGAGTTTTTTGCTTCTTTATATTTCAGATCTTCGACTTGATTCTTGCGTTTCTCTAGTCTGCTGTTGGGTCTCTGTATAATATTTTTTAATTTCAGTCAGGGTATGTTTAATTTATACTTGGTCCTTTTTATTTTTTTATTTTTTTAAATATATTTTATTGATTTTATACAGAGAGGAAGGGAGAGAGATAGAGAGTTAGAAACATCAATGAGAGAAAGTCATCGATCATCTGCCTCTTGCACACCCCCTACTGGGGATATGCCCGCAACCAAGGTACATGCCCTTGACCGGAATCGAACCTGGGACCCTTCAGTCCCCAAGCCGACATTCTATCCATTGAGCCAAACCGGTCCCGGCTTGGTCCTTTTTTATATCCTTGAGGGTCTCACTAAATTTATCAGCCTTTTCTAAGAAATTCTTGAAAAACCTCATTACCATGGTTTTGAACTCTATATCCAGTTGTTTATTTTCCTCCATTTCTTTCATTTGTGACCTGTTTCTTTGTCTTCGTGGGTTGGCCTCCCCAGTTACCTGAGGTAACACTCTTGATGCACCCCTTTGTGGGCTTTGTAGTTAAGTCTTGATTGTTGTTGGTATCACTGGGAGGAATTGACCTCCAAGCCAATTGGCTGTGAGGATCAGCTGTGTCTACACTGGGACAACTTCTGTGCTGGCAGTTCTCTCTTCATGCACTTGTGTGTGTCCACCTTCAGACCTCTGCCTTTAGCAGCTCCCCTGAGTTTCCGCCCCACAGTCCAGAATCCCCCCATATAAGCCTGGGTCCCCAGGGACTCGCCTGGAACTATGGATCAGCGCAGTTGGGAACTTTTGTCTCCTTCTCACTAGAGAAAGCCAGCCAAGCACTCAGCCACCTACATGTGCGTCTCTGTACCTCAGCCTTTTGCAGCTTCTCTGAGTCTCTATGTGCTTTCCTCTTTCCTTCTAGTTGTAGAATTTCCACTCAGCCAGCTCTCCTGTGGATCTGGATGATGTTTGTTTTGTCTTTTAGTTTTAGTTTTGAAATTGTTGTGCAAGACAGCAGTTTAGGTGTTTATGTTGCTATCTTGGTTTCTCCTGAAATTTTTATTTTCAAAAATAATACTCATGTCTATATTCCATGGTAAAACAAGAGAAATTTTTTGAAATCTTAATAGTAAGAGGGAAATAACCACCAACTAGTATTTGGTATATGAATTATTAAAATAAAGTTCATTGTTAATAAATGTAAGTAGTAATTGCTAAACTCTGGATTATAAAGGCAAAAATTTTGAAGAATTTCCTGTTTTATTATAGTAGAATAAGTATCTACTTGAGTCTTACAAGATTTTAAAAGCTTTGAGGACCCAAGTACATCATCTTTTTTTTTTTTTTTTTTTTTTTAAGGTAAATAAACTGAAGCCACAAATGGGTTAATGATTGCTTGGAATTGCACAGGATTGAGTAAAGATATGACCCTGGGTCCTCAGAGGCCTTGTCACCATGTATATACAGACTGTGCCTGCATGCTTACAGTAATTCTTTGCTTCATTTCTTAATAAAAGTTATTTGCATTTTAAGTATCATTTTAGTAACTACAATAAAATTTTTCTTTCTTTCAGTTTCCCTTTCAAGACAATCTCTTTCAATCCATGTATTACCCTCTTCAGTTGAAGTTTTTGGAAACTGTACACACTTTATGTGGACGAATCCCACAAGTGTTTCTGAAGCAAATTGAGAAAACAATGAAAAGGGCTTATGAGAAGCATGTCATCATGCATGTTGGCTCCAACCAGATGCGCTGAATGTTTCATCTTGTTGCAGTTAATCAGGCATCTCACCCATGAGGAAAAGTCATCTCTAAGCTGCCTGGGCCATTTCTGAGTGAATATCTAATGGTGCTCTATGACAATTGAGTTTTAAAAGCTTTGTAAAATGTTGCTAAATTAGTTGCCCCTATAAGAAAAAATGGGCTTTATTTTTTTTTCTAAAATGCTATTTATCTCTCTTGTTGTTTTTAAAAATATATTATTACTCATCTAAAATTGTTTAGGTTGAGCTAGCTGTGAAAAAGGAACTTTTGTTAAACCTTCAATTCCTGTTAAGTGTCTGAAACAGTATCAGTAGCATTTGAGTTTTTATATATATATATAATTTTATTGATTTTGGAGAGGGAGGGAGAGATAGGAACATTAATAATAAGAGTCATCGGTTGGCTGCCGCCTGCACAGCCTCTACTGGGGATGGAGCCACAACCTGGGCATGTGCCCTAACTTGGACCAATGACCTCTTGGTTTTTGGGTTGACACTCAATCAGTAAACTCAACCAGTTGACACTCAGCTGGGCTGAGGTGATATATTTATTCTGTATTCTTGCAACTCTTTCTATACAATTGGCTTTTCTACACCTTTTGTAGATAATTTAGTTTAGTGAACCAAAATCAAGATTAGATTAGCTATAATTCTATCAGCCAGTGAAAATAATTGCTATTTTAATGTAGTTCCTCCCACTTTTTTCACCACAAGTTCTATCTTTACTTGTTGGTTATCTTCCCCATTGTATTATCACATATCTAAAACAGGTAGTCTGAGTAAAAGCTGGCCCGTATGTTGAGATTTTTATGTAAGAAACTAAAAGTTGATAAAAACCATATCTAGGGTTGCTTTTCTAAAAAAAAAAAAAAACTTACTGAAATTTGTGTAAGACTGAATCATAAGAAGTGTCTATGAAACAACAGCTTTTGAGAGAAAATTGGCTAAATGTTTTAAACCTGAGGGATTTGTTTATCAAAGAGATAGAATTTTGTGTTTGCCCACAGATAAGAGCATTTTATTTCTTACATCATCAGTATGTGTGTCCTCCTCTTTTCTTTAAACTTTTGGGCAACTGAATTTAATTGCACAACATAAATAGTGCAGCTGATTCATTGGTAAGAAAATTTAAATTTCTACCAGCCTTAAAAGGTTTCTAACATTTTTCCCTTCTCTAAGGTTACCCAGCTTTTAGTCAAGGAACCAGATACATGCTTAGTTTAGTATAGGAAGTTCTATAGTCTATTCCCAAGGAGAACTGACTTAATCCCTAGTTACTCATGTAGCTGGCATCAGCATAACAGTATTGTGCATAATGCTTTATTTATCTCAGAAAACTTGCATAAATGATCTTCTTGATGTATGCAACAGCCCTGTGAGCTTAGAAGGGAGCTGTATTATCTCTACTGAGCAAAAAGTAAATTGTAACATCCTGTTTTTAAAAAAAATACTTCTAAACAAAAATATTAACTGCTTTTCATTATATTTAAGCAACAATCTGAAAGTATAAAATTAAAAATATTATTTTGTTAATATAACATGGTATTTTATATGTGGGGATCCAGTAGAACATCATATGTTTTACAGTTAGCAGAAAAAGTCTTATCCTGCCCTAACCAGTTTGGCTCAGTTGATAGAGCAGTGGCCTGGGGACTGTCAGGTCCCAGATTCCGGTCAAGGGCATGTACCTTGGTTGCAGACATACTCCCAGTACGGATTGTGCAGGAGGCAGCTGATCAATGTTTCTCTCTCATTGATGTTTCTAACTCTCTAACCCTCTTCCTTTCTCTCTGTAAAAAAAAATCGATAAAATATATTTTTTAAAAGAAAAAGTCTTATCCTAAAAAATATTATGAAAATCTCAGCACTACAAAGAAATATATAACTATTGATCAATATTGGTATGGGGCATTGTTATGGTACTAACAAATTTAAATTCAAATTGTTAGAGGTACAGTTCATATTTTCTCTTTGCTCCATTGGATGGCTTGTGGTTTATTATTTTTGTTAAGGAAATTACCATTATGATGTGCAACTTGTCTCTCTGTTGTTGTACTTTATGTTTTCTCATTTTGCCACTAAAGGTGATATCATTCATTATATCTAAAGGGTATGGGACAATTTTGGGGTTGTCTTTGGAGGGGGAAATGCATCCTATACATCCACAAATATGGTTTTAGTGGAAGAGCCAGAATGTGAACTTGGTTCCCTAACTTCCATTCTCATTTTCTTTGTGTTTGTTCAGCATGGCCAGTAAACCCACAATGTCACTCTGATTGTTGTTGAAGCATATATCTAATGAAGTCCTTTCTTCCTTTGGTGACTCCTACAAAATAATCTGCTAAAAAGACTCTGAATACAGCTATCCCTTTTCTTTTATGAGAAGGAAGTTTACCCAGAACTTTCACTGTGGTTCTGGTCTTAACATGCAGAATAGGATTTCCAACAAAGGTCAGTCATAGAACCCCACGAACATTCTAGAATGATGCATTATGAAAATGTAAAACCTTAGAATTTGGTTTGGTTTTCTACCTTGGAATCCTTTTGCTCTATGCTGATATTTTAGGTAGTTTGGTAGAGAATTTAGAGAAAATTTTTCTCTTCCAATCCCTGCTACCTGAAGTTCTTATTTTCTATAATTGTGATGTTATCATGAGGCAATATGTTTTCTGCCTTTGATAATTCCCAGAAAACTACTATATTGGTGCCTTGGAAATTGGATAATTACAAATTTTAATTCAGTGAACTCCTAAACATTCAGTCTATCGTCTGAAGTTTGCCAAAGGGAATGTTGCCTAGTATGCCACATTGAACGTCTGTATGGAAAGACATAAGACTTGTCCTCTCCTCTCCTCTGCTCATTTCCTTTGAAGTCCTGTTTAGTGCACATGACTATGGAGTTCCACTACAGAATGAAAGAACACTTCCTGAGAGCAAAATATGACAGTATTGAGATTGAGATTGAGATGGTCATTAGCTGAGTAACTATAAATGCTAATGATGTTTTTCTTGCTGAGTATTTTTCCAATATAAATCTCAAAAAGTGCAACTTACTTTGAAAATTCCAATATTTAAAAATTTAATTGGCTAGAAAATCTACTTATGTTTTCCTTCAACTTCCAAAATGACAATTTAGCATTTAGGGTATAATGTTCCAAACTTTAGTATGTATTTGAGATTTCTATCACATTTTCAGTGCTTCCATTGAAAATTGTTGTGACTTTTATTAAATTTATTATTTTTTTCATCTTTATTGTTGAAAGTATTATATATGTCCCTCTTATCCACCTCTGAATTTATTATTTAGACAAACTCATAACAGTTTGAGCATTTACCTTATTATGGTTTCATAAAACCCAACCATAAAAACCTTATTCATAGCCACAGAATTTAAGTAAATGTATAAATATTGCCTGAGACTTATACAAAAAAAGATAAATTGGTTGTATTAGATAAACCAATGTGAACATGATTTCATAACTAAATTCAGCAATATATGAATTTAGAAATATGTTTAATTGCAGGGGAGTGCAAATCATTATATTCACACTCAATAGAATGGTAGGAAATCTTCCTTGTTTCTCTACTTTTTCATCTTCCTCTTTTTCATTTTGCTTTTCTTGGCATTATCCAAATGACAGAGTGAGAAACTTTGAGGATCCCTGTGAATGCAGGATTAAATTTAATCATTAGATCAAATTTTTATGACAATAACTTTCTAAAAATTAAAAAGCACGAAATACACACACACACACACACACACACACACACACGCACATGCGCGCGTGCGCGCCCACATAAATCACCAGCATGCTTTTTTAGAAGGACTAGCATTTGTTATGGTCTGTGAATTGAATTATAGTGAAACCTATGTCATGGCATTTCCCCAGTTGCACTGCTGGAAGTTAAAGCTGATGAGTTTACTCTGACCAACAGATATTTGTCCTGGATTGTTTTCTCAAGCCTTCAGGATGTGTTTGTGTCATGAGATGCATGAACATGTCAGGGTCAGATGCAGTTGCTGCTTCCTCAGTTTTACATGTTTGTGTTGTTACTGAAAAGTGCATCCATTGTTTGCAGCTCTCAAGGAGACTCTGAATGCTTTTTTTTATGTTGGAAAACTTTTTTAGTAATTTTGTTGGGAAAATACCATAAAAAATACTCTAAAGAAAAGGAACTATAGCAAACTAAAGGGAATATAAGTATCATGATTTAATTATTATCTTCTTTTTAAATACCATCTATGGTTTTACGTTTTTTAATTAAAAACATTTTTAAAATGTGTTTGTGTTAATTTGGAAGTGTGTTTTTTTTTCTTATATTAAGATTTCAAGTATGAAAATTTGTAATATTAAATAATACTTAAGATTTTCCAGCTAGTAAAAATAAAATTGGTTTAGCATTAGCTTAGATACTTGTAAAAATCATTAAAAGTGCTTTACTAATTGCTATAGACAATTTTCATATATTACTAATCATCCTAAATGTAAATGGACTAAACTCACCAAATAATACAGAGTAGTGGGTTGGATGAAAAAACAAAACCCAACTATAAACACATCTCAGTTTTAAGGACAAATATAGACTCAAAGTGAAGGAGTGGAATATAATAGTACATCTAGATAAAAAAGGGCGTATCCACTCAAAACTGACAAAATTGTCTATATAAAAGCCTAAGAGACTGTTATGACCAGATGGCTGGACGACATTGGCCGGTATCTATGATGTGCACTGACCATTAAGGGGCAGACACTCAATGCTGGAGCTGCCCCCTGGTGGTCAGTGTGCTCCCCCAGCCAACCTCCCACAGCTGGCCAGCTTCCCGCAGTCCATTCCCTCAGCTGACTGGCCCTGTTCGTCCCCTCTTGAGACTGGGCAAGACAGCCCCAACTGGTCCCAATTGCCGGCCAGGCCGGGAGACCCCCCTGTGCACCTATTTGTGCATGGCCTCTAGTTGTAAGATGAAAAAGGTAACAAGAGACAAAGATGGATA